CGCGCGCACGCGCGCACCCACGCACGCGCGCACGCGCGCACGCACGCACGCACGCACGCACGCACACGCACACACACACACATACACGCGCGCGCGCACACACACACGCAGTGGGAACAAACACATTCCGTGGGACAAAAACACACAGTCTGTGGGAACAAAAACAAACACACAATCAGTGTGTGTGTGTTTTTTCCCCACGGGTGTTTTTTTCCCCCACAGTGTGTGTTGTTTTGTGTGTGTTTGTTTTCCCACGTGTGTTGTGTTTTCCCACAAATCCATCAACAACCTACTGAACAAACAATGCTGTTTCTCTTACTTGTTGGGATCCCCTCTTGTTTTGTGCCGCGCCGCTTCCACCAGGGTATTGTCGAGCGGGGCCTCGCGGGCCCACCGGCGGGGCGGCTGAGCCCCATTGAACTCGCCGCCCCGTGTTGCCTCTCGCCAGCGCCGCCAGCGCCGCGCGGCCGAGCTTCTACAGGGCGAGGCCAGGCCGAACGAGGCCTATCGTCCCAGGACTCCTCCGCGGAAAACCAAGGCCCCTCGAAGCGGCCGCCAGCGGCCGCCAGGAAAACCCGGGCGCAACGATGAGGCAAGACGAGGCCGAGAGGACCCAAGATCTCTTCCCTTTCAAAGGGTGGCCCGAGGGTGGGAGACAAAAAGCCTGCGGCGAGGCGGCGTCGCGGCGCAAGCACAGGAGAGAGCGGGCCCCCAGAGGAGAGACAAGCAACATGTTCTAACATGAGTTTCTGTTTCTCTTACTATTTGGGATCCCCTCTTGTTTTGTGCCACGCCGCTTCCACCAGGGCATTGTCGAGCGGGGCCTCGCGGGCCCACCAGCGGGGCGGCTGAGCCCCATTGAACTCACCGCCCCGTGTTGCCTCTCGCCAGCGCCGCCAGCACCGCGCGGCCGAGCTTCTCCCAGGGCGAGGCCAGGCCGAACGAGGCCTATGGTCCCAGGACTCCTCCGCGGAAAACCAGGGCCCCTCGAAACGGCCGCCAGCGGCCACCAGGAAAACCCGGGCGCAACGATGAGGCAAGACGAGGCCGAGAGGACCCAAGAGCTCTTCCACGTCTCCCTACCTGGATCACCGCCTTGAAACCACCGCAGGGGGGGGGGGGGGGCACATCGTAGGCCAGCAAGCTCCCAAGAAACCTCCATCTTTCGAGGGTTGACTGCGAAACGCGCAATTCCGAGAGAGCCTGCTGGCCTTCTGTGAGGTATATACGAACCGTCGCTGTGTCTTGCCAACGCCCTCTCTCTAGAGTGGCAGGCATATTACGAGTGCGACGGAAGAACGATGTGCCCCCCCCCCTCTTCTTAAACTGTATGGCTTGAATTGAAACTGCTGGCAACCGATAGCAGCGCACAGCTGCTCAAATACACGTCTGAAATCACCAATTGAGGATGGCAGTATCTGCTGGTCTGACGGAACATGTCGTAACAGATGCGATATCAGCTGTGTCACTGAAGCATCCCCAATCACGACTGTCTCCTGTCGATGAAATCGCAGGCCACTTTTTGTGATTGGCAATACTAGAACCATTCTGGCGCGAGCCTCGTCCATGGCGACCTGCCAGCGCCGCAGGGTCAGCATCTCGGTGGTCCTCAGGAAGGCCGCGAAGCCGAGGACCAGCAGCGCCGCGACGTCGTTGCGGCCCCAGCCACGCGCCGTGGCAGCCAGCGCCGTCAGCACGATGTCAGGCATCGGAAGCACGCGCTGCGGCAGCTCTAGTCTCTGCCAAGCACGAAGCAGCCTCCGCGACGCTGGCAGGATGCGCTTCTTGCGCAAAAAGAACTGGACGGCTGACAGAGCGTTACCTGCCAAGCCCTGAGGATGCCCTTCAGTCCAGAGCCACTCGATCCAGTCGGCCACCAGCAGATCCAGATGATCAATGTGGTCGGCACCTCCAGACCAAGAATGCCCTCTCATGGCAACCCAATCTGAAAAACATCTCACTGCATTCTGATATACCTCCAGGGTCCGTGGCTGCACCAGGTTGCGTGATAGGCGACCCACCGCGGCCCGAAGCTGACGACGCGTAGCCTGATCCTGAGCTGCTCTGACTCTGTGTTGAACTCGACCTGGCATGAAGTCAACTAGAAGCCACAACCGCTCCCCTCGACGGGTTGTCCGCGGGGTTGCGGTCAGTCTCCGTGTAGCCATGCACAGGACGGGCAAGAGCAGCTAATATCAAGGCACCAATGCGTCGAACGGTAACATGCAGCAAGTGAGATGATGATCGGCCTCTGGTAATGACTCCGAGACCAGCTTGAGAATCCATCATATGACAAAAGCGAGTGCGTAAATGTTGAGAGGATCTGAATCGCCATCGCATGGCTCCCAGAGTAGCTCTCACCTCAAGGTCCGTGATGTGGGACGGGTGCTTCCAGTCCCAGATGGCGGTGGCCTTCCACGACCAGCGCGCCGCACTGACTGGTCGCCTGGGCCACAGATCAGGCCGCATCGCCTCGAACGTGTCAAGCCTGATGTCGCTGCCTCTGGCCTCGGCGCGGCGGGCCAGCTCCTCCACGATGATGATGCCGGGGTCCAGCGCGGCATCCTCACTCTCGAGATCGTGCTGGCGCACCAAGACACCGTCGTCGCAATCCATCTGGTCCATGCTGACTGTGGCATCGGCGATGGTGGCGCCACCTCCAGTCTCACGCATTTGCCTGACGGAGGGGATCTCGGTCAGGTAGCCTGCTCTCTGAGCCCAGTGGGCCAGCACCCAGGCGACAACCACACATTGGAAGCTGTTCCCAAGCAGAGCGCATCGGCAACATTCCAGGTCAGCTTTCTCGAGCTTGCGTGCTCTATCACTCGTGCCGTGATCGTGTGCCCTGGAAGGAAGTCGAGCAGCAGCTCTCTCTCGACACTCGAGGGGGGCCTTTGGCTGCCGTCAGGCTCCTCGATGCAGTTGACGTCCCGGAACTGGTAGGACGCGTAGCAGTAGTTGAACCTGCGCCAACGCTCGACTTCGTGACTTGCACACTTGCCGAGACCTGACGGGAATTGACCTGGGGCACGACGAGGAACACAGCGCAGGAAGGTGGGCAGGCGGAAGTCCTCCTGGACGTCACCCTGCCACTGAAGCCCAGCGGCCAGCCAGCGTTCAACTGGACCGGGCCCGTCAGGGATCACGACGTGCTTCGCCGAGTCCATGACAAACGTCTCGCCCTGCCACGGCGTCAACAGCTCCTCCTTGATCCAGTGCAAGCGGTCACGCTGGCAGTGTGTGACATCACCCGCTGAGATACACACAGGTTCGCATCCCAGGGAATGTGACATCAAGTGTCGCGGTTCCGAATCCATTGAGGCCGCGTTCTCAACCAGGGACAGCGCCGTGCAGAACTCACCCAGCGCCTCACGCAGCAGAGACACAATGCGGTTTATCTCGTAGAACAGACGTGAGCGTCTCCCTTGAAGGCCAGTACGCTCAACGTTGATGCGGGCCAGGTCGCTGCGCGGGCTACCGGCCACCACTAGTATACACTTCGCATGCGGAACTCGTTCGCGGATGGCCACCGCCTCGGCGAAACCAAAGGAGCAGACGTCGCCGACTTCCAGCACGTCCGGCCACGCATACTTGGTCACTCGCTTCGCCTCGGCGTCGATCTCGGCGGACACGAACAGCGCGGGAGTGAGCCCCAACAGGTCCAGGGCGCGGCGAGCCCCACCAATGCCGTCGAACAAGGACAGGAGCACCACCTCGTCGCGGAAGTCAGTCACCAGCCTTCGGCTGGCCGCTCTCGCAGCGGCCACTCCGTCAGGCCGAATGCGAACAGCTCGACACACGGCTCCACGCTGCATGCTGGCATCCGAGACCGTCGCCAGCCCGCTGATCGGCACGCGCAGGTCACAGCGAAGCAACGGGAGCAACGTCAAGGCCGACGCCAGCTCCTCGCGTACCTTTCGCGGCACCTTCGCATCACCACGCAACTTCACTAAGAACCGCCACAAGTGAGTGAAGCACATCATCGCCTCACGCCTGAACAGGAGGCACCGAACCCAGCGGCCCGCCAGGATCTGCATCCACTTCTGAGTCACTGTGGGCCTTTGCAGAGTCGCCAGGGTGAGGGAGATCAGCCGTCGCACGAACTCTGCGGGCGGCCCGATGGTGCCGCGATCCCCATCGATCACCTCCCCGAAGGACTGCGTCGTGGTCTCGCGGATGACGGCCTTGTTCTCGCTTCTTGGCACGTTGAAGTGCTCATACCTCCGACGCGCCAGGTCGACCGCCTCGCTGATCCCCTCCTCCTGCAGGGACTTGGCGTGCCACCAGTCGGTGATCTCCAGCACATCCAAGTTGTCGATGTACACCTGCCAGGCCCTCCAGAGGGCTGGCGTGTTGAAGCGCTCCAACCACTTCGCGATCAGAACATCGCCGTGGCAGGCCTGGTGCTCCTTGCAGTGGCAAAGCAGCCGAGCACCACTCAGAGAGGATAAGTTGGCCAGGAGGTCGGGCGACTTCTCCAGGTGCTCTGCGAATAGCTCGATGACCCGCCTCCTGTCCAGACCATCCCGAATGCGGAACGGGTTGCCCCACTTCGATGGAGCAAGCTGCAGTGAGCTGGAGCCGCGTCCGATGTAGATCGTCCGCGCCTCGTCATCATCAGTGCGACCGACCTCGCCACGGACGGGAGCCACTCCTGAGTTGTGAGAGCCACCTCGGCGAGCAGGAGGAATAGGAGCGTCCTTGCGCAGCTCCTCCGACGCCGGGAGTTGGCGTAGCTCAGGATGTCGGGCTCGAAGAAGGTGACGATGAATGTGTTGAATCACCCCTGTGGCTGATATCCAACCCATGGGCACGACGGCGGCGGCCAGGTATATCATGCCCTTGCCTGAAAGCCCAGCAACGCACCTCCTCACGGGCTTTGAGATGGCCATGTATTTCAACCACACATCGCCGAGGCTGTACACGTAGAAGCAGCACTTCAGATCCTCCGCGCTCCAGAGCATCACCTCTCCAGACCTGAGGATCGCGCTCTTCCACTTGTCGCTGTGGGGCAGCATCGGCACGTCGCCCTCGATGGCATTCTGGATGAAGTCGGAGGGGATGATGTTCATCGCCAGCCGATGCGGCCCCTCGCCCTTCAAGTGGGGTCCCTTTTTCACGCCGAACATGCCCCCCCATCATCTTGCGCCCTTGAACCTCCACGATGTCCTCGTACTCAATCGTCTTGAGAATCCCCCTCTCGAGTAGGTCGCCAGCGATAAGCTCCCACTCTTCGTTCGAGGCCCAGACCTTCGGAGCGGGGGGCAGGCTGCCAAGCTCCGACTCGTCCTTCAGGAGCAGACCGGGATCGGAGAGGGCAGCTCTGATCCAGCCCTCTGTTACATCGACGGCCCTCACGGCAGCGCACGCCTCTCGAGGAGGCAGGGCTTCGAGTAAACGATCACGGTCCAGGGGCTCGGCAGGGAACACCTCCTCGCCGTCGTAGGAAGTGGCGGCGGAACAAAGGTCGGTGTCCCAGTCGATGTCAGGGACCAGGCCAGCGCACTGCTCACGAAAGACTCTGACCTCATAGAGAAGATTATTGAGGGCCTTGCGCTGAGTGGCGCTTGGAGGGCCGTGAGGCGCATGGACCCAACTGCGAGTGTAGTGAAAGTTGAGACCTGACGCGATACAATGCAGCCAATCTAACTCCTCAGACTTCGCAACTGCCAGCTCTTGACTGTCCTCACGAATGTCTCCGCGACGTTGAGGAGCAGCCAAACCATGAAACGCGATCGGGAGCGGGAGAAGATCCCGACGCTCTCGCCGACCGTTCGGTGATGGAAGCGGATCTCCACAGACTGCATCATATTCGGAAATCAGCGAAGCCGTCGAGGGAGTGCGTAAAGAAGCCGGGTGTGAGATACCATCGCACTCAGGAGTAACGTCAGCTTTGCCAATTGACTGATTGACTGAATCACCAGTGGATGTACGTAAAGAAGCCAAGTGTGAAGAGTCGCCTGTCTCGCCGTGAGCTGCCTCAGAGGCAGACCCAGCACCGCCAGTAGCGGCGGCCAGGGTAGGCGAAGGCGACCTCGAACGGACTTACGTTCAGTACCAGGGTGCAGCGCAGGAAGTATCCGAGACAGCAGAATGGCGCCGAAGTCCTCAACGGATGAACTAGGCAGCGCGCAAGACAAGGAAAATGAATTCTCGGAGACATCCTTCGTGTCACAGTCGACAGTGTGCTCCGCGTCATGCAAGGAGTCAAAACAAGATGACCTCTGGGATGAGATCTCCGACTCCTGATCATCGATTGGAATGTCATTCTTCTCAGACTCAGACGGAACAACCATCATGTCTGTGGGAGCTAGGCGCGCTGCTTGCCTTTGCTCTTGCCCTTCGGCTTGCCCTTGGAGCCGGGGCCCTGCCGCTTGCCTGACTTGCCGCCGCCCTTGCCTTTCTTGAACTTCTGCTTGCCCGAGCTCGTGGTCTTCGCCTTCTCGCCCTTGCGCTGCGGTGAAGGTGAACCTGGGCGGCCCCTCGGCGCTGGCGACTGCTGTAGTCCGCCTTGCTCGACCTGATCGGCGAAGTGCACGCGTCTTACTGGTGGCGCTGGCCGCGTCCCCCCTCCAGCAGGTGGGCGCAGGATCGGTCGGCGATCGGGGCCAGGGCTCACGGCGCCGCGCGCGGCGGCGGCTGGGGACCCTGGGGCGCCAGACGCAGGAGGATGCGAAGCTGCGGGGCTGGCCGACTGCTGCGCCTGCCCCCCTCCGCGAGCTGCTGGTGCTGCAGCCTGCCTCTTCGCGGCGGCAGCCTGCCTCCGCTCATTCCTCCAACGCGTCTTTCGTGATGCCTTCGCGCGCTCCACCATGCTGCCGGGCTTGTTGGCAGTCGGATTCGAAGAGAGGACGCCAGGGGTTGGAGATGGCCTCCGAAAGGGCGGCGCCCGAGGCTGTCCGCTGCCCTCTCGGCCTGACCCCTATCCTGCGCCACCTCCCTTCTTGGCCTTCGCCGCGCTCTCGGCCAGGCCAAACATCCTCTTGTGCTTGCTCACGGCGTCGTGCACCTCCTCCTGGCGAGCTAAACCCGCGCCCAGGTCGTCGCGCAGCTCGAGATGCTGGGCCACCTGCCAGTGGCCGTCCTCGGTAGCCTGCTCGATCGCCTTCAGCCTCTGCATCAAGAGATCGCCCAGGTGATCCAACTCTCCTCTGAGCAGCGCGTCGAGACACCCGCCGACAGTCCGCATCTCGCGGACATATCTCACCCCCATCTCGCTCTGCGGGTGGTGACCGTGCCGGACGCTCGTGATGTACTGCACCACCATCGCCGCCAGCTCGTCCAGGCCCTTGTCGGTGTCCGCCCCACCACGCCGTGCAAGATAGCGCTTGATCTGGTTCATTCTGCTCGACAGGAGAGCTCCTGGAGCGGCCTGGGGAAGATGAGCTATCCTGCGGCCTGGGTCGACGTGGGGGGCGCCGTCGAAAACTGAACCCTCAGAGCTGCTGTCGTCACCAGTGCGTCGTGCCCGCCTCCTCTCGCGACGACCCACTCGACGACCGCCAAGAGCCTGCTCAGCACGCTCAGCGAGGGCCTCACCTATCCCACGCTTGCGATGCAAGCGTAGGCGCAACTCAGCCACCTTCTTCTTCAGCTCCTCGGGGGTAGGCTCCGCGCTAGCCGCGGCACCTCCAGCGGTAGCTCCAGGAGGGCCAGCACCTCCGACGGGTCCGCCAGAAAGGCCTGCGGCTGTCTGCCCCCCAGCGGCTCCGCGGCTGGCCAGCAGCGTCTGAGCCCACGGCTCAGTCACCCCCGTGGAGCTTCGCATGCGGTAGGTCTCCACGTGCAACACTGAGCGCTGAGGCCACTGCACCAGCCCTGAGCACACGCTGGCTTGCTGGGTGCACAGATGCAGCACCGCGCCGCCAAGGTGATTGAAGCTCCCCGACAGCATCGGCCACAGGGCGGCACTGCTGCAACCCAGGAAGGACGCCTCCACGAACACACCCATGCCGTCGCCAGGCCACACGCTCTGGATGGTGAACAGCGCCGTGCCGACTGCGCTCCCGAAGCTGTCCAGGGTCACGCACTCCAGCAATCCTCCTGGCGACAGTCCAGGCCGCTGGTAGGCCATCGGCGATGAACGGCCGTGCACCCAAGGTCCTGCTCCTCCTGGCGGTGCCGATAGATCGAAGCCACAGCCTCCTGGAGGCCCGACTCCACCACCAGCTGCAGGCACCCAGCCCAGCAGGCCACCAGCACCTGGGGCTGCTCCTGCACCTGCGGGCACGCCTCCAGCTGCACCGCCGAAGGCGCCGCCAGCAGCCGGGGCCCAAGCACCAGCGCCGCCGTGACCTCCGACACCAAGAGCACCTCCTCCCAGTCCAGGAACAGCTCCAACGGGAGGCCCTGCCACGCCTCCAGCTCCACCGATCACGGCGGCCGCACCACCCGCTAGAGGGGGAGGCGCGAACCCGCCCAGCGGGCCTCCTCCACCGGCAGCGCCAGCCATCCCAGGCGGACCTCCGCCTCCAGCTGCCACCATGCCTGCAGCCGCTCCGACTCCCGCGGGCAGTCCACCGTAGCCACCTGCCAGTACTCCAGGAACACCTCCAGCCTGCACGCCCGCGCCAGCGGCTCCTCCACCTGGCGGGCCATCTGCGACAGGAGCTGCCGCGGCTCCTCCGACGGCACCGTCCGCTGCGGTTGCGGCGGCTGCACCACGACCACCTCCTCGGGGCCGAGCCGCCACGCCTCCGCGGCCTCGAGCGCCTGCAGCAGCCGCGGCCGCACGCGCTCGCCTGCCGCCCGCAGCCCCGCGTGCCGCGGCCGCGCGTCCTCCACGGGCTCCAGCGGCGCCTCGCCCGTCTCCGCGACCGCCGCGACCGCGGTTGCCTCCGCGGCCTCCTGGGGGCGCGGGCAGCGCGGCAGCTGCGCCCGCGGGCAGCGCAGCGAACCCGCCAGCGGCGCCGCTCGCGGCGGCCGCCGCCATCACATGGCCGAGCCGCCGCGCCAGCGGCAGGCGGCGCCCCTGCACCTGAGGTCACCCCCTGACCTCAGGCTTTCAAGACAAAAAGCCTGCGGCGAGGCGGCATCGCGGCGCAAGCACAGGAGAGAGGGGCCCCATAGGAGAAACAATCAACATGTTCTAACATGAGCTTCTGTGTGCCTTCTCGCCTTTTGGCTTCCGCTTCACTCTTGAGGCCTCAAAAGGTGCCCAAGATGGCCCCCAAAGGAGATGCTTCGGCGTCTGACGGGGTCGTGATTGAGTCCGCATTCTGCTTTGACCGATGGCCTCTAAGAGGGCCTCAAGAGGGCCCAGTATATCCTCAAGGGGGCCCCAAGTGAGTCCCACAGGCATCCAACACTGCCCAAGAGCGCCCCACGATTCCTCTCAGAGGCTCCCAGAGCGAAAGAACTGCGACGGTCTTGATGCCTGACCCATGTCGTCGTGGCGTGGTTGTCGTCGTCGTCGTTGCTGTCTCCCTCCCGCATCATCATCTCACTTCCTCCTCTTCCTCGTCTTCCTCCTCCTCTTCGTCTTCGTCCCACTCCTCCTCTTCCCCATCCTCCTCCTCCTTCGCCTACTCGCCCTTCTTCAACGTAGGGTTTGCCAGTACTTGAAAGGACACGTTATCCTTGTAACTTCTCTTCCATCTGTGGAAACATGTGTACACACATGATACAGGACCACTGGAAACATATAAACTAGCGGACACTCCTGAGAAACTACACCCATTAACTCGTAGACCAATGAACTTCCAGACTTCTGGAGACAAAAATACTAGATGACAGATCGGAAGCACATCAGGCAGCCAAATGCACCAGAGAACGCCCAGAGGCAGGTCGGGGCAACTTGCTTGGGGATCGTTTCGGGATGAGCCGGTGGGGATGCGCGAAGCATCAAATAAACAATCGAGACCGAACCTCGCGGGTGCTTAATGACTCGTGCGGCGCGGGGGCCCTTCCTGTTTGAACGCCCGAAATGGGTACGGAAAGAATGGGTACTATGCCCAACAACAAATGTTGTCCCCAGCCAACAGCGGCCGCTGTTGGGCAGGCGGCCTTCTGTCTCGAATGGACACAGGCCGCGGCGGCGTGGACAGCGAATCCTGTTCAAAATGAACAGGAATTGTTGTTGGGCATTGTACCCATTCTTTCAGTACCCATTTCGGGCGTCCAGATCCTGGTACCACCAAAGCCACACACGAGCGGCACCACGAAGCTGCAATCTATAGAGCCTGGCGCAACCGGAGAGAGACGGGCCCCTCCGGAGCGAGCTGCCAGAAGCACAGGGCGCAGCACGCATCCCACAAGAAGACCCCCAACCGACGAGGCTCGTAACTATGCCAGTAGAGGAAAGAGAACTATGCACATACACCGATTCTCGCCAGGCCCATCCTGAGCCCAGGATCGGTGCATACGCCCTCCTACCCTGGCTAGGAAGGTATAAGCACCGATCCTGGGTCAAGGATGGACCCTGCCAGGATCGGTGCATGTGCATAGTTCTCTTCGCCCGAGCCAGGTCTCTCTTTCCGACCCCCGTTGGCACTGACTCCCGTCCCTCGAGCCCCGATTCCCGACCTTGACCTCAGTGGGCCCCCGAAACGGCAGGGCCGTTTGTTCACCGTTTCCAAAAAGATGTCCATTGAAACTGGGAACGGCAAAAAAACGGCGACCGGAAACGGCTAAATAACGGCTCCAGGATTTGAACCGGAGCCAGAACCGGTCAAACAACGGCGACGGAACCGGTAACAAAAACGGCGTCGGAACCGGCAACAAAAACGGCAAAACGGAACCGGTAAAAAAACGGCCCTGCCGTTTCCAGGGTTGGGCGCCCGAGTTATCCGGGGTAACTCGGGTCTGGGGTAACTCGGGTTTGGATTCCCGAAAAAAGGAACCCGAGTTAGCCCTGACCCGAGTTACCCCTGATGATGTGGGGCTCTGGACGCCCGAATTATCCGGGGTAACTCGGGCCCAGGGTAACTCGGGCGTGGATTCCCGAAAAAAGGAACCCGAATTAGCCCTGACCCGAGTTACCCCTGATGATGTGGGGCTCTGGACGCCCGAATTATCCGGGGTAACTCGGGCCCAGGGTAACTCGGGTTCGGATTCCCGAAAAAACGAACCCGAGTTAACCCTGACCCTAGTTACCCCGGATAACTCGGGGCTCTGACAGGGCCCACTAAGACCTTGACCCTGCCGCCGTCTTCCGCCGGCTTCCAGTCGAGGAAGAGACGGCAGCCTCCCGATCCCTCGAGGAGGCGAGGCCCAACCTGGAGCGCCCCACGTTGGGGTGGGGGCAGGGAGCCCCACCCCATCCCAGTGGAGAGGGGCACGGCTGGTTTCTCCGAAGAGCTCTCGAATACAGTCGGGGCGTCGACCTGAGGAAACCTAAATAAGGAACGAGGCCCCTTTTTTCCATAAGTTAAACTTTGATGTCCGATCAAAAACATAAGGAAAACCTGAGGCGAGCTGTGAAACACTTAAGGAACACGGAGCCCCTCCCCAACGAAAAGGGTTCCTTCTTTAGGGCATGGACTTCCGGGGGATCCCAGAAAGGGCGCAGCGCAAACCATAATACAGCAGAAGGGAATATCGCAACGGGGCTCCAGTGTAAATCTGCATCTAGCTACGTTGAGCTCTGCGCGCTACTGTGCAGCTTGGCCTCGCTAGAGACGCAGATGACGCAAGCCAGGAGGATGAGTAGTAGCCAGCCAGCACTGGATGCCTCATACACTGGGCCAAAATCAACGAGAGTGTCCAGATGGCACCGTGCCGCCGACGCATCGCCGATGCATCGGCGATGCATGGCTGGAGAAGTTGAGTTCCTGGACGGCACCGCATCGATAGCGCATCGTTGGTACATCGGCGTGGTGACTGTGCGCAGACAGCTGCTAAGGGTGCGGGCGTTGGCAGGAAAAGCTGGCGGGGGCCTGGTGGGAGGATCACGGAGAGCAGTGCGAGCCAGAGACAAGAGAACAGAGAAGAAAAAACGGGACTGAAGGTGGGGTGTGGGGGGAGACGAAGTGCTCCAGGCGATTGTGCGCAGAACGCCTGGCCCACAGAAGCAGGGACAAGCAGACAGCTAGAGGAAACCTGCGTGCCGTTTCGACGCGAGGCGCTTGAAACAACTAGGCCCCACGGGGTACGACGGAATCTCGGCTGCGAAGAGGGCCTGGGCCATCCGCCGTCTCCCTTCGGTACAGGGCTTGCCAGCGTGCGCATGGTGACTTTCGATTTGACTTTTCAACCGACAAGTTGAACATGGTTGCCTCTTTGCAATACCGAGGAGGAGAGGAGGTCCAAAGATGCGCTGCCTCCACGCGGGTGCCAACAACGAACTCGCAGGCGTTCTGGTGGTGGGCGTGGGCGCTTGCCCCCGTGGGCCCCCCTTTGGAGCCAAAACTGCTAAGAGTGGCGCAACAAGGTGGATGGCGACTGGAGAGAACGCAGTAGGGGGCTCCGCGCTTTGGCCGCTCCGAGGCTGGGTGGAGGAGGGGCCAGGGGCAGGATGGAACGTGGCGCTCAGGCTCGTCGACATCACGCCGTCGTCGTTGAGCACATTTCAGACGTGTTGGCAAGCACAGCGTGCAGGGGAGGAGGAGGGGACAGACGCAACTCGGATCCCAGCGCTCCCGATCCGAAGGAGAATGCCCCCTTGCCTCTACGCTCCCGCCGAGAGGCGGGAAACGTGAAAACTCCACTGAAGGCGGAAAGATCCGAGACGGCCGATGCCGAAACAGCGGCACGCAACCGCTGCTGAACCGAGGCCAACACTCGGGGGCAAGGGCAAGAGGAGGAGGATGAGGTGGATCAAGCCAAGTCGCGACTGCGAGGCAGAAAAGGTGCAAATCACAAGGACCCGCGACCAGCGCGCAAGAGACGTCACGCCGTGCCCAGGACGAGACCGCTGGGCGCACGTTCCCCGTCCCTACCCGCTGGAAGGGGGAGCCCGTAGGCGATGGATCATAGCCACGCCTGGTTCGGGCAAAACCTCGTTTACCTTCCTCGGCGCGTCGGGCAAGCCGTACACACCCCAAACTGTCTGGACCTCCAAACTCGAACAACTTTCCTCCCGCTCCTCGCCCTCCTCTCTCGTCCCTCCTTCCCCTCCTTCCCCTCCTTCTCCCCTCCTTCCTCCGCCCCACTGGGCCGCGCCTCGGCCTAGCCGCCCCGATACGCAGCCCAACACGCCGCCCGCAGCGTGCTGATGCGGAGCCCAACGCGCAGATTGAAAGCACGTGGGCCTGGCGCGACACAGTCGGGGCGTTGACCTAAGGAACCCCAAACAAGGAGCGAGGCCCCTCTTTCCCATAAGTTAAAAACTTCGATTCCATATCGAAGACCGAAGGAACACCCAAGGCAAACTGCGACACACTTGAGGAGCACGGAGCCCCTCCCCAACGAAAAGGGTTCCTTCTTCGGGGCCCCGACTGTACGATTCGCCACAACGTGGACCATCACGTGCCGAGCCAGCACGCGGCGCGGCAGCGCGGACGTCCCGCGCGCGGCCCGGGCGGCGCTGCAGCACGGGCGCGGCGGGGCAGAGCTGCGCGCCCTCGGCACTCGGCGATTCGCAGGTGCGCGCCCTCGCTCCTGCCTCGCCGACGCCAGGGCATGCCACGCACCGCGGGCGAGCGGCGCGCCCCTCCCTCCTGCACGCACCTGCCAGGGACGACGCTGCCGCTGTGCACGCTGGTCCTGCCGCTCCCTCGCTCCCCTTCCCCCTCCTGCTCCTCCCCCTCTTTGAGCGTGCTTATCCTCCTCCTTCTGCCCCTCATCTTCCTCCCTCTCATCCTCTGGGCTCCAGCCAGCAGTGGCAACGCGTATCTTCCTTCTCCTGCTATTCCTCGTGCTACTCCTCCTCCCCCTCCTCGCCCTCATCCCTCTCTTCCCTCTACCCCTTCCGTTCCCGCCGCTTTACGCGAGAGAGGGGAGGAGGAGGAGGAGGAGGAGGAGGAGGAGGAGGAGGAGGAGGAGGAGGAGGCGAACGCGGACGAGAAGGAACAGAGGGGGGAGGATGAGAGGGGAAAAGACAGAGGACGCGGCGCTAGCAGGGGGCAGGCGGATGAGAGACGACGACGACGACGACGACGGCGACGGCGACGGCGACGGCGACGGCGACGGCGACGGCGACGACGGCGACGGCGACGGCGACGGCGACGGCGGCGACGACGACGACGACGCATCCCGAGACGTGGCCTCGCGAGCTGGGCCTCAGCTACGCGGCTGTCGCTCCTCCTCCTCCTCTTCCTCCTCCTCCTCCTCCTCCTCCTCCTCGTGCGTCGCAACGCCTGGGGCGCTGCGGCCTGCGAGCGAGCGCGGCCTCGTGCCCGGCGGCGCCGAGCTCGTCGAGCGGTGGGCGGCGGGCCGACGGCGAGGCACAAGGACGGCCCTTGCCCGCCCCCCCCCTCCTCCCCCCCCTCTTCCTCCCACTCCCCCTCCTCCCCCTCCCCCTCCCCCTCCTCTCAGACGGTGTCCTCCGACGGGGCACTGCCCTCAATGAAAACGAATCCTTGTGGGGATCTGTGGATCTGTGAACCGGAAACCTGGAGGGAGGGCTTGTTGCAACACCGTTGATGAATCTGGGGTTTGCACTGGCCCTCCTCTCCCGCCCCCTCCTCCTCCGCCTCCTTCCCCGCCGTCCTCGGCCTTCTGATGGGGGCCCTCGCCGGGCCCCGGGGCCGTCAACAGACACGACTCGGGAGGCAGAGCGGGCCCCGGCGGAGGGAGGAGGAGGAGGAGGAGGAGGAGGAGGAGGAGGAGGAGGAGGAGGAGGAGGAGGAGGAGGAGGAGGAGGAGGAGGAGGAGGAGGGAGGAGGAGGAGGAGGAGGAGGAGGAGGAGGAGGAGGAGGAGGAGGAGGGAGGGGGAGGGGGAGGGGGAGGGGGAGGAGGAGGGGGAGGAGGTCGGGACTTCTGGGGACCGCGTGCTGGAACCAATCTCGTCGGACCTCTGGGGGTCGACGTGAGGATTCTGTCGGGCGTGTCCCCTCCGAGGGGATTTTCGGGTCGGGCGAAAGGGGGGGATAGCAAAGGGGGGGTTTGAGAATCAGCTCACGCAACTGATTTTCCCGGCGCCTCCCGGCGCCGGGAGGCGCCCATGTATCGAGGAATGGGCCCCTCGGTGAAGCCGAAATCAGCTGCATGCAGCAAATTTCGTAACCCCCCCTTTCCCAATCCCCCCCTTTCGCCCGGCCCGAGATTTTCGACGAAAAATGGAAAATACCCAAACATACCCCAAAAAGGTCAGAAAAAGCTGACCAAAACATAATCCCCGGACTATGTTTGGACTATGTTGGGGGTATTTTTTTCTCCCGTCGAAAATCCCCCTGTATGGGGGACAGGTCGGGGGGCCACAGCGCGCAACGATCTCCCCGAAACACCTGGCGGCAACGACGCCGCAGAGCCCCGCGGGGCTGAGCGGCGCCTGGTCCCGCGGGGCTCTGCGCGTACGGAGGCGCACGGAGGCGCGGCCCCACGGAGGGAGCGCCCCTGGACGCCGCCAGGCGCCGCCGGGTCGTGCGTGCGGCGCCGCGCAAGCCCGCGCGCCAGCTGCAGCTATGCCTTGGTTATGCCGCGTCCGCCAGTGAAATACCTCGTGAAACTCTTCGGCATCGCTGAGCTAGAGGAATTCCGGCGCGGGCTGGAGCTAGTTGACCCACCCGGCCAGAACGGACAGTGTGACGACCTGGGGTCGGTATTTCGAAGATTGTGAGAAATCTGAAAATTCGTTTTGAGAATCCAGTTTTTTGCGCCGTGCAATCGAGGCGCTGGGGCCACACAGTCAACCAGTAGAACAAGGACGCAGGAGAAGGATCAGGGGCCTCGGAAGGCCATGTCGACGCTCTGCGAGCGGGGGCGCGGCCAGCGAAGGCGGCCACGGACGGGCCGAGGGGGAAGGACGCAAGGGTAACCTCCGGAAGTCCTTCGTCCTTACCATGCGGGTCGACTGTATATATGGGGCCACATGCGAACCCCACCCCTGCCCCCCACGATTTTTGAGGGGGAAGGTGGGGTTCACTTTGTTCGAGAGCTCCCGGACGAAGTGAACCCCACCCTCCCCCTCAGAAATCGTGGGGGGCAGGGGTAGGGTTCGCTTGTGGCCCCCTAGTACATCGTGGGCCGGTCCCATGCGAGGGGTCTTGGCTGGACTCGAGGGTGCGCGGTGACGCCCCCGTGCCCGCCTGACCTGGGAACACGCGGACGCTCTGGGATGCTTGGTCGGCGTGAGCGACAGCACCGGTCGAGATGAAGCAGAGACCACTATTGGCGGCGCGCACAAGGGGGTGGGGGAGGGGGGAGGGCTTCTTAGAAGGAGGCTGCTTCTTAGAAGGCGCCGGCCTTACATCGATAGATAAGGGCCGCGCCTTCTAAGAAGCAGGGGTGCTTTCTAAGAAGCCATCCCCCCTCCCCCAACCCCCTCCTGCGCGTGGCTGACACTCAAGCAAGTCCAGCCTCGAGCGTCACCATCAAATGCGTCTGCCCAGTGCCACCGTATAGCGGAATATATGCTCCTGATACCGAGGGCGTCCACTCTTGATGCTCAACCAGATTGCGAGAACGTGGCAGTGGAGATGGAGGAAGACATCCTCCTCCGCCTTGTTCTTCTCCTTCCTCTACGTGTCATCATGTCACCCTCTACGGCCAACTCCAGAAATTCTGATGACACCGGCATTGACCTCCTTGAGAAGTCGACGAGGCAAAGGGGGGGCGTGAGCAAGGGGTGACAAGAACGGACGGGGACCACGGGGTCGGTGAAGGGTGGAATCGCAATCGGTGAAGGAAACAGAGACCGAGAACCATCGGCGAACTGCGTTTTGAGAACCACATCCGGCTGGTGGATATGTCGACCGTCAGAGTTCCGCGTGCCAAGACGACCTGGCCGATACCGATCACGTGAGGCCCAGACTCTGCATCCCTGAACCACGGCAAGGGCCCGGAGTGCAAGTTCAGGATGCCGTTGATGAAGAACGCTTCCGCCAGCTCAGCTTCAGCAACACTGGAGCCCAGACGCAGGACCTCCCCCCTCTCGGTGCGCAGCCCCACCTCCAGCTGTTGCCACTGGTCTGGTTTTAGGAACGATGGGATGGTGCGGCTTCGGGCTGCGCGCGCAGACAGGCCCCCCAGGTAGCCCTGGCTGGCCTCAACAAGCCCCCAGAGTAGTGCTGGCTGGCCTCAGCAAGCCTCGAGAAATTAGTCCAAGGCGGTCTCAACACTTCAACCCTGGGGCGCGGAGCGCTGCACAGGCGCCGCTGGAGGCGGCACCAAGGTGTTCAGACCGCCCCGGACTGATTACTCGAGGCTTGCTGAGGCCAGCTAGAACTACTCTGGGGGCTTGTTGAGGCCAGCCAGGGCTACCTGGGGGGCCTGTCTGTGCGCGCAGCCCGAAGCCTTACCATGATGAGACGCCCGTCTCTGCCAGCTCATCTGCCAAGGACTGGGAAACAAATGTGCCCGTCAGCCCCGTGTCGAAGACGCAAACAACGGGACGCCGCAGTCGAGGCAACAACTCTCCGTTCACACGAACGTCCAGAGCGCGAGCAGCGTAGTGCCAACCGGTCGGCTCACCAGAGGGAATTCAGGGAGGTGGGATGCGATGCTCTGGGGGTCTCACGTTCGAGGGGGCTTCGCTATGATAGACCCGGTTAGATCCTGATAACCAATCGTGAAACCAACAATCAATATCGATATCACGCTGACTTGAGCGCCGACCGAACTGCAAGCCATTGCATGAGTATGCCATTCCATGTCTTCAGCACGCATGAGCGTTTATCACGTAACGCACCATCCATGTGTGACTACGCACGCCGCTTAGTCTTGTGAGAAGCACCGTGTGGCAACATCATTAAACAATGTGCCAGGCTGATGGAATCGATTGCTTCGAAGGAACCAAGCACGGGCGGACACAGACCTGGAATCGGTAGGGCGCCGCTTGTCTCCGCTGTCTCCTGTTGCCTTCGCTTGCTTCCCGTTGTCTCCCGCTGTCTTCTGCTGTCTCCCTTGTCTCCGCACCCCTGTACCTATCCCCTACGCCTATCCTGCATCACTATCCCCATCTCGATCCCTATATCTATACATATATATATGTATATCCTGGTATCCCTACCCCTATATGCCTAGCCCTATAAGCCGATCCCTTCCGCTATCAGTTTGGTGTTCGTGCTAGGCTTCGCGTCCGTACTTGTATTCCTGTGTACAGGTATTTCCTTCACACAGCTTGCCTGTAAGAAGCCTATACACTTCTTCGGAGAAGCAGAGCGCAGGAGGCCGGATCTGAAATCGGTCGAACGACTTGGTCTCCCGTGGTCTCTTGTGGCCTCCTGTGGCCTCCCATCGCATCAACACCGTCAACATTGATATTAATACTGGCATGCGTACGTACTCGTATCCGTCTATGCCCCTCTTTCTGGCCATTGTTCGTCGCTGAAGCCGTACGGGTGTGATTCTCATCTCCCGGAACAACATAGTTCAGGATACCCTGTGGTGGGCCAATTGGAATCAGGTGTGGCGGGTTATTAAGAAGCTCCATGGAAGGATCTCGGATGCGAGCGCTGTCCGCGGAGTCATGCCTTGCTCGCCCTGGGGCCCAAACTTGAAATGCATGCTACCAGGAGGCTGGAACACACACATGGCTGGACTCTTTGGCGGAACCTGCGGAGGCCACCTGCTGGATACACGTGTGGAGGATCACCGTGCCTGGCCATACGCGGCCGAGCGCTTGCAAGACATGCGGCCACGTGCCATCCCAGCTGCCGCGCAGGCTGGCCGCGTCATGCGTATCCAGCCTTCCTGGTGGCAGTCCGACCAGGCTCGGGGATCTTGCCAGGTTCCCTCGTGCAAGTGCCGCACGCAGCTCCCCACTGCGGAGTTCAGAGGCCGACTTGTCGGGGGGCCTTGCCCCACGAAGGGCCTGCAGGAAGAAGCTCGTCGGGGGCCTCTCGTGGGCCTCGTCTGGCGACCATGCCTGCCCGACCACGTCTGCTTCTGAACAGCCTCGTCTGGCCTCTCTCTCTCTCTCATGCACCCGAGGAGGGCGTGGGACCCCGCAGGGGTGCGGGGGCCTCCCCCGGTCTCGTCGATGATCCTCAGAACGTGTGTCAGCGCCAACGTGTGCTCTGCCACCGAGGCCCTTCGACACGGCGCAGGCGGTGCAGCGAGGAACGACACGAGCACACGAGCTGCGCGCCACCGGCGGAGCCGAAGTGGGTAAGCACACACCTGGGCTAACCCACGTCCTGAGGATCATCGAACTCGCCTCCTCGCCGGAAGTCCCTCCCGAGAGCGCCCGGTGATGCACAGAGAGCCCCAGGGGGCGCAGGTCCACGAGCGGCACTGCGTCGGCGGAGGCCGGCAGCAGTGGGCGGGAAGCGAGGCGCAGCAGGCGCGACGGCGACGCGACCTCGAGCGCCTGCACCTCCCGCCGCCCGGGCAGACGCACCTGCTGCAGCAGGGACGGGTGCGTCGCGTCGCTGCTCGCCTTGATCAGTCCCACGACGAAGCCGCCGCTGGCCCGCACCAACTCCTCGTCCGGGGCCGCCACGAGCACATCCTCACCGACGACCGGGGACACTCCGAGGGGGCCCTGCGGAGCCTCGAGGCGCATCGTGGGCGCTCGGAGCCATCTGAGGTAGCCCTGCCTGTCCCCGTACTGGTCGTAGACGCGCGGCAGCCCAGAGTCAGGCAACCCATCTGCGCACCCGTACTTGCCGCTGTAGGCGCACAAGCGGCCAGAAGGAACTGTGAGCCAGGGGGAGCCCGTGTCGATGAGCCCACACACCCTTTGCTCACCTAAGGAGGCACACGTGCAGAGTGCGGTGTCGCCGAATCCGCAGGGGAAGAGTGGCACGTCGAGAATGTCTGCATCCACTTTGGCTTTCGCTGCCGAGGAGGACCATGCAGAGTGCGTCCCACATGCCGAAGCAGACCCCCATGCTGCAGCGGCCAAAACGAATCTGCGCGCCGATACATCTCTGCAGTGATCTGCTGCGCGCCCAGACAAATCCACACCAGAGGCACTGCAAGCCCCCAGATGCTCACGTGACTGCAGGCCAGGGGGGCTCTGAGGCAGCATTGCGCAGCCAGGGCTGCTGCAATAACGAACCAGACACGCGCATGCTATCAGCAGAAAGCAACCTCCGCGTAGCCTTCGCATCTGCCAACCACCTCCGTCGCGCAGAAAACCGCACACTCTTCTGCGGCGAGCTCCCTACCTAGAAGCCGTGCGCTTGGCCCTCACAGACTGTGCATCGGACGTCGCTGCTCAGTCCCAGCGCATCGGAGGTATCGACACCTTCCTCCTGCGGCTCGGTCCGAAGTGGCTACGGGACATGAGCGCCTGAAGCGAGCGGCCACGGACGAGGCAGGGAAGGTTGGCGACGACGTCCGCTCGCGGCCATGCCGCCAAGGCCATCGCCCGCCCCTCCTCTCCTCCTGCTGCAGCTCCTCGTGTGCCCACTCCTCACGCTCTTCCTCCTCCTCCCTCTCCTCCTTCGTCTCCCCCTCCTCCTCCTCCTCCTCCTCCTCCTCCTCCTCCTCCTCCTCCTCCTCCTCCTCCTCGCGCTCTTCCTCCTCATCCCTCTCCTCCTACGTCTCCTCCTCCTCCTCCTCCTCCTCTTCCTTCTCCTGCTAATCCTCCTCCGCGTCTGCCTCTTCCAAGAGGAAGATGCATCAACGATAACCGGTAACTGCACGCACGCAGCACGACGGGAAGCGGCAAACAGCACGTGCAATATCGGAAGCCGCACACGTCCTCTTCTGGGTGTCGGCGGAATGGAGTAAGCCTCGAGGTAAGGTGAAACACCAGCTTGGACCTACGTACTGTCTGTCTCCATCCGTTCAAACCTTTCGTATGGCTGTTCGCTTGCCATGCCGCTGGTCCGGGTCAGCGAGACGCCATGGCGTGCTCAGCACATGTGTCAGCAGCAATCAGATGTCTGCACTGTGTGGTCATCGTATACGACTGGTTGTCACTCGCGTGCGGTCTGTTGCTTGTCTCCTCGCAGGCTGCGAAAATGAACTGCCGTGACGTCGCCATGACTGTCATTTTACTCGGTCAGATGGCATCTTCTGTAGCGCACCACCAGCGCGAAACATTCAAATCGGTAAAGCGTCGCGAAATGCGCTGACATTGTGCCTGGGCGCCGTAGGCCGACTTCTAAACCGGAGTGGCCTTCTCAAGGAAACGGGGGGAGGCCGATGAGGAGGGGAGTGGGAGATGAGGGGGGGGGAGGAGAAGAAGCACGAGGATGAGAAGGAGGAATCCCGCCGGCCATCTTGGCGGAGGTGATCGAGGGCGCTCCCTCTTCCGATCCCCTTCTCCTGCCGTGCGGAGGACGCCCCGCCGAGCTTCCAGCGCGTTGCCCAGTTCGCTGCCGCGCACGACATCGAGTGGTGTGAGCTCACCCCAGCGGCCCGAAGCCGAGGTGGGAGATACGCTCCTGTTCTGCAAGAGTCGTGCACAGTGTGCCACCAGCATCCCCAAAATGCTTGTCGGACTGGCGAAGAAGCGAGTCTGCGCAGCACATACTTACTGCGCAGGTTTTTGAAGGGCCATCATCCCCAGTGCGGGAGGCCTGAAAAGAGGCCGCTCGCCAAAGCGTGTGCGCCAGCAGGGCGCAACATTGCCATTGGAGAAGGGCTTACCCCCCCTGCCCCCTCCCCTGCATTTGGACGAGGGGGTGGGGGCGCGAGCGGTTCGACCGTCAAATATGCTCCAAGATAGTTCCAAGAGGGCCCTTAGGCAAAAGTCCAAGGTAACCTCCAAAATGGCCTGAGGCAGCCGAGGATCGCCTCCCATATGCCTCCAGAGGGCCCAAGAACCCCCCAGGGCGGCTCACGGAGCTTCCCAAGGACGCCCCCGAGAGACCTAAGTCCTTCCAACACCTTGGAGCAACACTTAATGTCTGCATTCAACTCTTTTAACTTCCAAGTATAGCCCCTGAGGCCTCAAGATGGCCTCAAGATCGCATAAGAGAGCCCTAAGAGGGGCCCAGTAAGGCTCCAAGACGGCCCAACGATTGCCCAAATAGGTGCCCAAGATGCTACTTGTCTGGCCCGCGCCGCCCCTTTCGCTCAAACCAACAATCATGGAAACCATCCCGGTGATTGACGGATTGGCATCTCGGGGGCATCCTTGGGAGGCAGTTGGGCCAGGATTGCTTTAATACTGTTCTGGGTGGCTCAAGATAGCGCAGGATGGTCCAATGTGGCCTAAGATGTCCTTCAACATGCCTCCAAGATGGCCCAAGACCGACCCAACACGGTTCCAAGTGCCCACGGAGCCTCCCAAGGACTCCCCGAAACGCCCAAATCCTTCCAGCACTCTGGTGCAACACGTGATGCTTACATTCTCGCCTTGTCGCTTCCAATGGGCTCATGAGTCCTCAAGATTCGGGGATGGACAGACCCCCCTTTAGCAAAACGTGGTTTAGTGAAAACGACCTGAGGCCCAAACCTGGCGGGCGCAAGCCTGGAAAATGACGGCCAAGGCGCCCTCCCGAGAACCGAAAACTGACAATTCACTAATCGACGTGTCACTGGTGGGGGTTCTGTCCAGCCCCGAAAGATGGCTCCAAGGTGGCCCAAGCGAGCCCCAAGAGGGGCCCAAGAGGTCCCCATGAGTTTCCTAAAAGGTGTCCCAGAGGCAGTGTTCGCTCCTCGCCCTTCCGCAGTCCGAGGTGCCTCGCTAGTCCTCAAGACGGCACCAGGATCGCCCAAGAGAGCCCCAAGAGGGGCCCGGAGAGGCCAAAGACGGCCCCGAGAGCGCCCGAGAGCTTCCCACGAGGCGACTTTTTGGGCTCCAGCGGGAAAGGGCTACTTGGGACCCCCCTTCTTTGATCGATGCCCTCGAAGATGGCCCCAAGAGGGCCCAAGGTTCCCAAAGTTGAAGGGGCCCTGGGACACGCAAATAAATCCGCCGGCCCCCTTGTGAGGCCACCAGACTGTAGGCCGAAGCTTCGCAGTTTCCTGTACCAGTTGCAGCTTCCAGTTTCCACTGTTACAGTTCTGCTTCTTTGCAGCTTCCAGTTTCCACTGTTACAGTTCTGCTTCTTGCTTCTTACTGTTCCTTGTTGATGGACCGCGCGAGGGGGGGAGGCCCAAAACAGGCATCTTTACCACGCCCTGAGCGTGTGCTCTGAATTGCTGGGGTGGGTACAAATTGACACCACTCACGCAGATCGGCGGGGTCAGGGTTCAAAAACACATGGATTTGCCACATGTCTGAAATTTGGTGGCACACATCACGCAGATCGGCGGGGTCAGGGTCCAAAAGCACAAAGGATTGTTGCAAATTTCTGACATTCGGCGGCACCCCTCACGCAGATCGGCAGGGTCAGGGTCCAAAAACATAAAAGATTTGCCACATTTCTGAAATTCGGTGGCACCCCTCACGCAGATCCGTAGGGTCAGGGTCTAAAAACAAAAGGGATTCGCCACATTTCTGAAATTCGGCGGCACCCTTCACGCAGATCCGTAGGGTCAGGGTCGAAAAACAAACAGGTCCCGACACTGCTTCACGGCGGCGCCCAGACCTCATGATTTAGCTTTTGCACCTCCCATTATCCGAGACAGGGGGGCCGGCGGCATGGGGCGAAGCCCTTACGGATACTCCAGATTTCGTAATAAAAGGGAGGGGGTCAGGACCCTCCAAGACAAGCCATTTCAGACCCCCCCTCGTGGGAGAACCCTCCCAAACACCGTCCCCAGACCCCCCCAGGCCCTCCAAGATAGCCTGGAAGAGACCCCCCCCGAAATGAGACCCCCCTCCCTTTATTACGAAATCTGGAGTAGACACACATGACAGGATTTCCTATATTTCATTTTCTCCACCCCCCGAAAGGCTTCCAACGTGGGCCTCCAGAGGGCTCCAGCGGCTCTCCCAGGAGGGCTCTGAGATGGCTCCAGGAGGGCTCCCAGGGGGCACTCTCGGAAAAGAGAGGGCCGAGAACGCCCTCACGGCCTACTCCTGTTAGGAGGCGACTGCTGGGAGGTTTCATCGGAAAGGTTGAGGAGGACTCAGCCCCATTAAGGAGCTGTTACGCCCGAGTGGGCCTCGGACTAGGCAGGATTAAGCCGGACTGAGCGGGATTAAGCGGGAGAAAGCGGGATTAAGCCGGATGGACAGGGATTACGCTGGATCAGGCCGGAGTTCGGACCAGGACAAAATCAGAATTTGACCTCTCAGGAGCTGCATGCGAACTCCTGCAGTCCCAGACCCCCGACGTCATGATTTTTTCATTACGTCGACCCCCAGAGGTCCCGACCCTTTCCCCATGACCGGTTTTTCATCCTGAGCCGTTTTTTGACGCTCCCGAGGCCCGGTGAGGGCCCCCGGATGCCGAAAATTAGGAAAAACCTCCCGTCATGATTTCTTCATTACTCGAGGGGGTCTGGGGTCGTCATCCTCCCCCCCCCTCCCCCTCGGCCTCGTTGGCGCCGCCGGCGGCGGCTGCCGCCGTCGGCGGCTGCCGCTGCAAGAGGCGCCCCGTGGCTGGAGAGCCGCCGGGGGCCGACGAGAACGCTTCTGTCGGGGCCTGACCCCCCACAGGGGGATCTGGGGCGGAAAATAAAGATACCCCAGAAGTATCACAAACATACCCCAAAATACCCCCAAATGCCCTAAGATACCTCAAACCTACCCCCAACAAATACGACAAAAAATCAAAATTATACCCCCAAAATGCCCCAACAGGGGGATCTGGGGCGAAAAATAAGCAGTACCCCAAAAGTATAACAAAAAATGTAAAAAAATGGTCCACACATCGTCCCCCGATTATTTCTGGATTATCTTCGAAACTTCCGTCCCGTGTCGGGGATGGAGAGACCCCCCTTTAGCAAAACTTGGTTTCGTGAAAACGACCTGAGGCCCGAACCTGGCGGGTGCAAGCCTAGAAAACAACGGCCGCGGCGCTCTCTCGAGAACCGAATACGGACAACTCACTAATCGACGTGTCACTGTTTGGGGGTTCTGTCCACCCCCGACTGTAGAGGGACAAGCCCTTAATGGGCCCTGGAAGCGACAGGGCCGTTTTTGTTACCGGTTCCGTTTTGCCGTTCT